CAGATTTCATGAAGACATTTTCCCAGGCTCGAAAGTCCGCTCCAATTCATAGTGAGGAAGTCATAGTTTGCACAGAACCTATACCAACCTCCCCAGCCACAACTTGTCCCAACTTGAACTCATAACCAAACACATTTCAATATCTCATCAACACAAGTTTTAGTTCAAAACAGCTGAACTTGTTCATCCCTTCAGAGTTGCTCAAATTTTGCAGTTCTTGGCCAGCTTGACTGGGAATGTGATCTCCATTTTGGGCATACATTCAGAAAAGAACAAGTCAATTCTGGAGACACATTTTTCCCTTCTAAATTATTTTGCTGAACAATAAAGCTCTCCCTATCAACATTCCCCAGCCTTGTGATTTCTGTTGACTTGCTAAGCAGAGCAAAGTGCTCAAAATGGAAAGATTAGAAAACCAGCATGTTTCAGATCTAACATTCAGGGATAAAGCTGATCTAGCAAGTTATTTTAAACTGCCTCTTGAAACAGATAACAAAGCTTTCAACAATTTGCATTGATGTACAGATCATAAAATTAGTGCAGCTGGAGTTGTTCTGACCTACACTTCYACCTAGATAAATAATCAAGCAAAACAAGTATCTGCTGTGTTGCAACAATTACCAGTTTTGCCCACCAAGCTTTGCTTTGCTGCTTAAAGTTTTCTTAACAAAAACCTACTTTTGCTCCTTCTTAAATCTAAGTTTTACTTGCAATCTGAAGTTAAAGATAGCAAATATTAATAGGAAACAATTTTACAATTCTGAAAGGTAAACAGATAAACCTAAGAGAAAGTGGTTAAGAGGCAACATATTTGCCAAAACTTGCTATGTTTTAATCCAAGGCTTCCGCCAGTTGTCTTAGGGGATGTGAAGTTCCAGCTTGAATCACAGCTCACCACAGTAGTTTCATTTAAAAAAACATTAATTGAAAAAGAAGTCAAAACATCCATGGTTACTTCCAAGAGCTGTTGCTAGATCTCTGGAATACTGGCAGAAACATTCCCTGGATTTCATTTTGGTTCACAAGCCCTCCTTTAGAACAAGCTGAGGGTCTGCAAGGAACTTAGTGAGCTCCCAAAGCAGAAACTGTGGCAAATAGTTACTCTTCYCTTTTTGCTTCAAATCTGTAGATTTTACTTTCATGCAGTTTATGATGGGAGTCCCAAAAGCATGAGAGCTACCCTGACAGCTTGTGCACTGCTATTATCTGATTAATTTTCTGCTATGTTAATTTGTGCTATATTGGATATAATTTTTTGGCCAGGAACACACTTTTTTCCCCCCAGTTTTAAATAAAGTTGGCAAAAGTTCTAACGATACAGCAAAAAGGGGCTGGTCCAGATATTTTTAAGGCTGTTTCTCTTTGTATTACAAATACTCTTGGTTTACTTTGTGAGTGCAACACAGCAGCAATTTCTGCCACGTTCAGCTCCTCTCACCTAAAGGACTGAACATTTTGTTCATTCTGACTAAATGTTAAATCTCAGACTAAATGTCACTTGACATGTGCCTGTAGGATTCAAACAGGGTGCATGCTGCCAATTATTCACATAAAAGAGCAATCAGCCATGGAGAAATGCACCATRAGAACTGGATCATTCATCTGCTGTTATGTGAAATGCTGTTTTTAAGCAGTATATGGGAAGCAGGGAAAGGGGCTGTTGTGCTGCCCAGCACAACAAAGGTTTAGCACACTTGTGTACTAGCAAATCTKCTGAAACAGTTCTGAAATTCAAATTACAGCATCMAGGCACAGCAGGTAAGCTAAGGACTGTGTAGTAACTCTTCTGAAACAGTTCTGAAATTCAAATTACAGCATCAAGGCACAGCAGGTAAGCAAAGGCCTATGTAGTAACTCCAGCTCTGGTTCTGTGGGCCAAGAACAAATTCCAATTCTGGTTGTCCCCAACCTTCAACATCTACACTGGCATTATTCCTGCACTGTCATGACCAATCTTTCAGCTGGCATCAGTTGGCAGGTAGTGTTTCAAAACCTTAACAGTTGCTACAGGGCAAGATTTTCCTTTTTATCTGAACAGCATGTTCTCATATGATTATTGCCACACACACACACACAGAGGATGGATATTGACAAACACAAAGGATTTAAGCAAGGAGCTGAGGGGACAAAAATAAAGATATTGAGACATCCTGTTCAGAAAGAGCTATGATGGAAGGCAATGAAAGCTGTGAGACACCGAGATCAGGAGCACACACAGGATGCCTGGAGCAAATATYTCAAGAAACAAACACAACAGCATCAAACCAACTGGAGTCCTGGGGTAAACCAGAGGCATTTAATTCCTGCTGCTAAAACAACAGYTCCTCCCCTCAGCATCCCTAGTCAGAACTCCTGGGCTCTGTGTACAAGCAAAAGCTGAACTGTAGGTCCCASAAGGATCTCTGGCTCCATTCCCACCAGCTTTCACTGCTTCCAAGGACAGCAGAAGCAGCTGCAGGGTTTTTTTGTCTGCTCTGTACCAACAAGCTCAGACAAGAAACAATTTTCATCCAGATACTGTTTCTCCAATAACACTCTAGAAATTAGTTCTCCCTAAACTACTGTTCAAACAGCAAACTTCAGACTCCATRCAGTGAGGACATTAATTCACTCCCCTAAAATGCTATCTCCAAGATACATTACAGGCTTTCATTCTGAGGGCTGGCATTCTAGAGAGGTTTTGAATTAAATTATTTGCTAAAACAGGCACTGTCTGGCACTCTGTAAGAGGTTAATTCTACTCAGCACACGCTTGGGATCATGAACTGCACAAAACTGTAAATTCATGCCCTAAATATAGAGCATTCCAAACAACTTACAGATACCTTCATACTTCACTGGAATACTTTATCCAAGGATCTCAGTGTATTTTATGGTGGTGAGTTAGAGGTTATTTTAGACTCCTTTTGCTTTTGAGAAACAGTGGCTCCACTTCCCCAATTAACAAGATTCAAGATTGATTTTCTTTTGCAGGGTGAATGACATACCACAACACCACCATGGGAATAGAGCAGCCATCCTTAAACAATTCCAGAGATTTGGGAGGTTTTTTTTATTCTTGAATGGAAGTTAATCACTTTTACCCAAGAAGATAARTGAAAAATATCTCTCTTGCTATCCATCTACTGTATCTGAGTTTTTTAAAGCATTTCACAAAAATAATTAGTTTCACTCTTAGGGGTGAGCTCTTTTCTAGAATCCTACTACTGAAAAACATTTGTCTCTTGCAGATAATATTTAAATACCTCTACAAGCTGGCTCAGCCTTAGCACCATTGCCTCCACACCCTGTTGTGTGCAGCTCCCCAGCCCTGTGAGGTGGCACCAACAGCACTGGTGTGCTCTGCTTACATAAAATGCTTATCTGCAGCTCAAACCTGCCAGAGCTGCACGTCCACCTCACGGAAATCAAGGGCAATTAGCCTGCTGGCTGAAGAACAAAACATTTTTATGCCACCATKAACACACGCCAGTTCACTGGGGTGTGTCTCCAGATGAATGGGAACTTGAAGTCATTTAACTCCAGACACACTAATAACATATCAAAATGGTATTCACAGGACAGGAAAGATCAGCAGTGGGAAAGATTTTAAAACGTTCATGTATGATCAGCAGAATGGCACACAAGTTCTTCTTGGATTTAATTAAAACCTTCGTGGTGTATCTATCTTTATTCCCCTGACTTGTGTCACTGGTCATGCAACAGGAACACAACCACAAATGAAGAGAGATGAAGCAGAAGGAATTTAACTACCTCCTGAAAATCAATCCAAATAAAGCTTTTTGCAACACATAAAATAATAACTATCTTTCCTTTCTCAAAAGAGACATTCCAAATTGCCATGCAGGGATACAGCTTTRATCTCAAAGCATAATTTAATTTAATATTATGAGATGTAAAAATACTTATTCTTGATCACAATCAATTCACACTTTTTTCACCTTGTTTTGCCACTTTCATTGCACACCATGTTTTCTATCTGAAAACTGAGAGCAACAATCAGCTCTTGGCTTATTCAGCTAAATGATCTGTCAAACTGCATYTGAAACAGGAGCATTTTCTTATTTCAAACTGTCTGAGGTTAAGAAAAGCTTCAGCCCAACAGAACTGCAAAAATAAAACAGACTCCCATTCACACTGAGAACTTCCTACTGTGACACAGACTCCACTGGCTCCAGCACTGAGGGAAAAAAAATAGCTTCTGTAAACTTAGAAATAGCTTGAAATCCTAAAGTCTTATCTGCTGGACTGTATCACTGTGTTCACAATACCCTGGCAAACAAAAAGGGCAGCACATGCTAGAACATGAAATGCTGAAGAAAATTAGTAGGTGTAACAGCCTACTAGACATGTGAATGCCTTGCATAGTGCTCATTCTTGCTGGGTTATAAATTAATGTAATCACAGAAGTTAATGATGTCTGCTATTTCACAAACACAACAGAAAGGGAAAAGCTTATTTGTGCAAGTGTCACACTCTTTATACCATACTTTGCAAAGCAATCCCTTCTATAGAAGCAGCATCCTGCTGCCAAGCTTTGTTTGCCAAGAATGTTTTTGAAATATATCGAGGTAGAATACATAGGTTTCCCCTTCTCTTTGCTTTAACTGTTCATTTTATTCAAACACAATAGTTGGTGACAAGCAGCAACAACTCCTTCTCAAATAGAGCAGCACTGATCATTCCAAAAGTCCTGTGGCAGAACAGAAAAGCCTAAAAGTTGTGTTTATAAATAACCTTCATGTAAAAAAAAAAAAAAAACATAGACAAGTGTAGGGTTCTGCCCTCTCCCTGTGCATAAATCAAAAGAACAAGAGTCTCTCCAAAGCTCAGATGTTAAATCATCAAAACACTTAACTACTCCACTACCCCCAGGTTGAGCTGCAGAGCTGACTAAGGAACCTTCACATATAAACAACTGTAAATGATAAATCTGAATTCAGCTGCTTACTCACACACCAACACCCTCAGTCAACAATTCCAGTTGCTTTTGAGAAGTCTGGACATACTAAATTTTGTATGCTGAGWGATTATTTCCACTTAGCAATACTCAGGAAAACCTGGTTTCCTCAACAAGCACWAGAGACAATACTTTCCCTCTCAGAGCAGATAACAGCACTCAAAATGAAGAATTCTGAAGTCAAGATCCAGGAGAAACAGAGTCTATAGACTGAAACGAACAGTTTTGATGTACAGTCAGTTGCTATATGAACATCACTGCTTTGCACCAAAAGTCACTCATATCCTATAGCCCTAGAAAATCTGAGCCCATCTAATTTATGCCACATGAACACAGATTTCTGTAGCTAAAGATACAAATCTACACAAACTAAAAGCTTTTAGGATGTGAATGTGTAAAGACAGGAAACACTGAATGTCACAATCTCTGTTTTGTGTTGCTTTAACTATGCAATGCCCCAAAGGTKGCTCTCAGTAATTCTTTTTCATCAGTGTAACTCTGTATTTAAAATTAGAACTGAGCCCAGGAGATGAATGTATAGTTCTYATTCAAGCAGAACAAATGGCTGTGTGAGCTACCTCATGTCTTATTTAGCTTTGCTCGACACTGGCAGCCCTTAGGACACAAAAATGGACTTCCTACTAAGCAGAATGCACTACCCTAGATAGGCTGGGGCATTAATTCCTCCACCTTACCAAGCAGAATTYTGGGAATAAAGAGAGGAAGACAATCTGAAGCAATTTCATATTCATCTGAAAAGATCCAAATGTCTGCTTGGCTTTTTTTTCACTACATCCTGTTCTTTTGAACACACAAACAGCAATAGATACATGTGATTGTGGTTTTCTRCTTCCTCCAGTTCCTCCTCACTGTGACACAGGGCTGAACACCACATTTCTTTTGTCACAGAGATCCCCAAGATGCTGCTCTTGCTGCCATTCAGAATTTTCTACTTGGCAAACATTATATATATATTCATTATATTCTCATAAATAAATTTTAATGAGAAAAAAAGGCATCAAAATATATTTTACCTGGACATCATAAAGAGCTACAATGTTCTCATGCTGAAGTTCCTGTAAAAGAAAATATTTGTATTATGGAAATAGGTTGTTGTTGCTACTGTTATTATTGTTATTAWTTTAATTTGCTGATAATGCTGATTTGGTGATAATCAAAGAGAATCTTTTTAAGACCATCTGATGAAATYTGGAGGAAACTGCAGCTATTTAGACAATATTTAGAGGAATAGGAAGCTTAGGCAATATCTTCAGAGGTCATAAAAACATTTGGTTCCAGAACTCAATGTCTGTGACTTGTCACAAAAAGTACCAGAGCACAAGATCCTCTAATGAGCACTGAAAACTGACTARATTTAATTTTCTACTCTTAGAATTTCTTGCTTAGTGAAGTAACCAACTGTGCCATGTCCAAATCAACCTTACTTTTGTAGTATAAAGAAAATCAAACCAAGTAACATCAAACAAAACTCAAAGCACAGCTCATGAATTATTTGTAACTGCTAAAAAAACTTTTGTTTGTTAAGTACTTGCAGCACACTAATATACCCAACACCAAGATTTCTGGTATATAATAAATAAATGGAAATGTAAGATGTATATATCAGTATATAAAGGAGTGGTGTATCACAAGAAGCAACACTCATTATTACAATGAGATGTGAAATTCTGAGAGCAGGGAACTCTAAATGGACACCCAAGGAGATGTTTCCATAAAATAACTCTGAAAAACTGATGGATACTCTGTTCCATTTCCTCCCTCAGAGCCACAGCCACACTATCACAAGTCAGGAGTGGGCAGCTGCTTCAGGAATCAAAGTCAGCTCACTAATTTCAGCTTTCAAGGCAGCTTTGAGCAAAAAAAAAAGAAGAAAGATCAAAAACTGATGCTTCACCCTCAGCTTTGATCTGCTGGGAAAAGGTGTCACATTGGCCCCACTGAAGGACAGAGTCTTCCACATGTGGTTTCGCTGGATCCACAACAATTTTCTACTTTTAACTACAAAAACATGTCCATAACCTGTTCTGAGGCATTTCCAGTATTAAATATGTATTTTTTTTTTCTATTTTTCTTAGGCTTTTTATTTCTGGGTAACTAACAAAGAAACACACAGCACAACAGCAATTACTGTGATACCACCCATGACCTGGAATGAACTAGGTCAGAAGTCTCTTTTCCTCTTCAAGCAAAGCAGCTTTAAAAATCACTGCAAATTAACATACCTTTAAGATTTTTATTTCTTTTCCAAGAAGGATTTGTGACTTCGACAAGTTCTTTTTGTTAATACTCTTTATGGCTACTTCCCAATCAGTTTTCTGGAAACAAACAAAAAAAGCATTGTCAGTTTACTTTTTTTATTTTTTTAAACTTTATCCTCTGACAACTATCTAGGAAAGCACAGAGAAAAAGTTGCAAGATCACCCCTCCTCTACCCACCAGTGATTACTACATCACATGACACCATCAAGAACTATTTCATTCCACAATAGCTTAGACAGCTATTAAAATCCAGCTTCAGCTACACTGCATTTTAATGGGTTTCAAAGCATTTAWAAATCTCCAAAAGCAAGTAATAATATTCCATTTATTTTTTTGGTAGCAGTGCTGTGTATCTGCTTTTTAGCCCTCTCACAATGATCAAGTTACTTTTAGTGTTCTTTAAGGACTTCTCATTTTCAACCTTTTTATGCTCTGCAGATGAAAATTGCACAAAACCCATCTGTTTTAAGTAAGCTTATATATTGTCTATTTATATGCTATCCAAAAATAAACTGACTATTTATTTGTAAGGTGGGAGCACCTCTATTGGCCTTAAAAGTTTCCGTTTCCCTTTCTCCCTTTTTTTTTTTTTAACCCCAAAATCACTGCACTGTGCCTCTCCAAGCTGTGAGCGCTGCCTTAATCCTCCAAAATGCTAAATCTGAAGGGCTGTTTTCTGGAAAGCAAAGCTCTTTAGGCACCAGAATAAACTCACAGCATCAAGAAACCATAACGTAACTATGAATATCCGGGGCGATTAGCAAGTCACGCCAGGAAACCAGACACCTCTGAATTTAAGAAATCTTCAGCCAATCCCAAAGGAGACAATTTTCCATTAGATCCCTCGTTATCCAGCGAGATAAACATGACCCTCCCRACAAACAAAGGGCTCAGCCTCCCCTACAGCTGCAACTCTCCCCTCGCCGCTATGTCAGGGAGCTGCCAACAGCGGGGACAGGCCGGTGGGGTTGAGGGAAGGGAAAAAATAAAGGGTTTATGGATGCTGGGGCCGGATCCCGGCTCAGGGCCGCGGGGCAAACCCGGGCCTCAACCCAGCCCGCACCTCCCTTCGACTCTTTTTTTCTCCCCGAACACCCAAACCATGTCAAAACTCCCCAGAGGACACAAACCCCACCACCACCACCGCAGCTGTCACCCACCCGAGGGGCTCCTKTCGGCCCCGGGTTGTGTAACCAGCCCCGCTCCGGCTGCGGGCGAAGCCCGTCGCTGTTTACCTTGCGGTGGCGACCTTTGAAGACCACAGCAAAGGCTCCGTGTCCTATCAGGTCCTTCTTGCTGTACTCAAAGTCCCCCACCACCTCCATCATCCCTCAGCGGGGCATGAAGCCCCCGGGAAGGACGGAGGGAAAACAAAGGGGCTCTTCCTCCAGCTACAGCCGCCTCACGGCAGCCGGCGGCGGGGTGGGAGCCTGCCCCGGTCCTGGCTGCCCCCGGCGGCGGGGGCAGCTCCTCTCATACCGCCGCAGACCCCCGGGCCGGCGGGGCTGCTGCAGGGCGTCACCGAGGCGAGGGGCTCCGTCGGGCATGGGGAGGGGAAAGGGGGGCGTCTCAGGGGCCGGGTGTGAGGGGACAGCGCGGCATCGGCGCGGGGACGAGGGRCCTTCTCAGCGGGAAAGGGGGCTCCGTGCCCTGCCGCTGCCCGGCCCCATGGCCCCGCCACAGCGGGGGCTGCCGGCGCCGCGGCCCCGCTCAGGGACCGAACCCCAGAGCATCCAGCGACGCGGGCGGAGGCGCGGCCCGCAGCTCCGGGGCTGGCTGTCGCTGTCGCCGCCGCAGCCCCCGCGAGAGGGGAGAAAGCAGTGAGGGTGCGGACGGGGAAGGGGGGGGGGGTCTGTCAGGCCGCCAGCGCTTCCCGGGGCTCCTGCCGCTCCACCAGCTGCTCCACTGAGATCCGCACTCGGCCTGCCCCGGCTGCGAGTGCCCGGCCCTCCGCGCCTCCCAGCGGCTTTTATGGGCCGCAGTGCGCAGGTCCGCGCGCTCGGCTGCTTCCGCCGGAGGCCAAAGAGTGCCTTACCCCGGGTAACCCGGCGGTCCCTCCGCCGCCATCGCCTCAGAGCGGGGCTGGACCGGAGCCATCACCCCGAACCCACCGAGCCTTCCCGGGACCCCGAGCCTTCCCTCCCCGCGCCCCGCACCCACCCCGTCAGGACTCCAGAGGCCCGCCCAGGTCGCCCCCTCAGGGAGGACGGTGGCCCAGGTCCCTGAGTCCACCCTTGCCCTCACGCCGGAGCCGGGGCAGCGAGGTCAAACTCAGCCCGCCACCACTTCAACCCTTTCCTCGGCCGCGTCAGGCCCCAGCCGCCAGTGAGRACAGCGCTGAGGGGCCACCAGAAGAGGGAGGACCGGAGGTGCACAGAGTTGGAAGGCAGGTATTGAGATCATCCCAGGTTTCCGAGGCAGTGGCAGTGCTCACACAGCACCTCCAGGTCACACACTCCCAGCCCTGTCCCTGCTCCAGGTCACACACTCCCAGCCCTGTCCCTGCTCCAGGTCACACACTCCCAGCCCTGTCCCTGCTCAGGTAGTGAGCAAGGCTCTCCCTCAAACCTAAACCAAGGAATGTCAGTGAATGGAAAGGCAATGGAGGAACGGGCATACAAAGTGCTGCGAGCCAGACACTTCGAGTTGTTTGCTCCCTTTATAAGAACAACRCCCGTAATTTACAGCCCCTGCCTCCCAACACTTTTATATCAGCCTGGGGCTGTTTACAGCACGTACAAACATAAAAAAAAAACCAAACAGCCACCAAACAACAGTCACATGGAGCCTTTGACCTTCACCTCCAGATTAACATAATTATGCYCTTTTCCTCTGTGTTCTGTTCCTCACTGCTCTCTTTCCCCCCTTCTCTCTCTATGTTCTCCAACACACCACATCATAATTTCAGACSCTTTCAGGCCTCCCCGATATCCCCATGGGCCCCAGAGGATGCAGGGTGTGTGTGCACTGGGGTCACACAGGGCACAGCTCTGACCCCACACAGCCGTGCTGTGCCTTCCCTGACGTGACACAGGCTCTGCTTTCAGTGTCACCAGACCAAAATAGAGACTGAGCGAAGAATTCTGCACTCGGGCCTCTCCCCATTCTTCACTTATCTCCCTTGGCTTTCCAGCACTCAAAAYCAGGCACTGCTGGAGCCATGTGCCATCTCAGAACCTCCACAGCCAAAGGCTTCTCCACAGACAACGCACTTGGATTAAAAAAATATGCAGCAAGAGACTCTMAAGGAAAAATTGAACAGCTTTATGAAGTGACATTTTAGGCCATSAGAGGAATCATAAGAAATCTGTTTTATGCCAGAGAGAACCAAAGGGCTTTAAAACCCCCCAAACTTAATCCCCCCCTGTATTTGCTGAAGTTTTTGAGCTCCCACCCAAAATCCATCCATGGCACTACCCTAACAAACAGCACCAAGAAAGCAAAGTTGGCCAATAATTTCAACAGCTCAGCTTTCCACCCCTGTGGAAAGAATAAATGAGATGTAAAAATATTCCAAGTTAATCATAAATTGAAGTGTTGGTAGTGACAGACACTTTGTAATACGCTTCACAGTGCCCCTTTAAACCAGGAAAAAGCCCACAAGCCTCCATGTGTTAAATATTCCGATTCATAAAAATAATTTCCCTGAGAACTGCTTGTTTATTGCCATCCACCAATTCTCACTTCGGCATTAATCCTCTCAGTGTTACTGGGTATCCTCACCCCAAGTCAATGTCACAAGCTACGTTTTAGGGAAGCTAAAAAAAAAAAAAAAAAAAGGAATTCATTCATAAGATGCTTTTTGAGCAGATAAAAGTCACAACAGGCATTACTAAGCCACCCATTCTGTATCACACTTGCAAACCAAGACACATTTCCCGACACATTTCCCTTCGGCAGCAGCACTGCCTGATGTCCTTTTGTCCTCGTAATGGGGCTGGAGCCCTGGAGCAGGTTTGTTTCAGCACAGCAAGGACAAACAGCCAGGAGCGGCAGGGAGGTTTGACCGGAATAACTAAACACACTGCGCTGGGATCCGAGCGGGATCCGAGGGCTGGAACAGCGCTCGCTGGAGGCTGCGGGATTTGCATGCGGGTCACTCCTTCCAGCTGGGTCCTTGACTGGCGACTGGGGGAGCTTCTGGGTGTCAGTAACTCCAGCGTCCACTCTACAAAGAACCTRCAAACAGCACCCTCACTTGCTTCTGCTGCTGAGTGAGTTCAGAGTCAGAAAGGACAAAGCAGAATGGCAGTATTAGAGATGGCTCCGGGGCTCCTTCCCAGCTGCACTRCTTTGTTTCAGACAAATTATTCCCTCAGTTATGAGCCAGAACTTCTGATCACATCTAGAAAGCAATTGGCAACTTCCAGGTTGCTTGTCTGAGTGCAGAGAAGGATGCTTTCATCTGCCAGCAGCTCCAGAGAACACAGACATCACTGTCCTGAGTTTTCTTAGCACCTTTCATCCTCAAAAGCACTAATGGACTTCACAGCAAGTCCTTTTCTGCCATACCACACCACCAAAATGCAGCCCTGAGGTAGAAACATCACCTGAACAGTGCCTGGGTTGACCCAAAAAAAAGCAGAACAAGGCTGCTTTTCCTACTTTTCATGCAGAACAATGAATGAAGTTCATTTTCTTCCTATTCATTGAAAGATTTTTCCTGTCTCTCTCTCCCCAGGCTATAAACTTGCACATGGAAATTAAATTACAGATCTGGGAAAATATTCAAGAGATCATCTGAGTCGAACAGAACAGGAACATGTGGCTCCAAGGACCCAGGGAGCACAACACACRCTCCACTTGCATGGATAAGCAGGACACAGCCCCAAGAACAGTTTTCATAGATTCTAAGGCCTCACTTATCTAAATCAGCTCCCAAAGGTACAAGTCTGGCAGCATCCTGCTCACCTCAGTGTTATCTACTTCACTCCAAGTGTTCTTACCATCTCCTTCCTTCCCTTGCTCCATCACACTCAGGATTTCATTAGACAGGTAAACCTTCAGAGGGCTGGCACRCTTCCCAGTCCTTATCACCACTGTCCTCCCATTGGGATTTGTAACAAAATTAATGGTGGCATCAACTGAGCTTTTAAAGGAGAAAGTGTCCTGTGTCTGCAGGAMAGTTTCTGGCTATGCTTAAAATTATTTTTGTATTTCCAGTGAAAAATAACACCCTTGTGGTAAGAAAACCTGTGTGGGATGCTTAATGAGTAACTCAGGAAGAAGGGGACTGAAACATGGCGAGAGATCCCAAGATTCCTATCACACAGCACTGGAAAAGCTCAGGTGTTTCAGTAGGTTTTCTGTAAGGCTGGTGCTGCTRATCCCAGAAAAGCAATCAGAAAGCTCTAGCCTACCTTCTAGATTTGTCCTTTAACAAGAAGTAACGTCTTCCCCATTAAYAATAACGCCATCAACCCAAATTTGCATCTGCAATTCCCCAAATTAGCTAATTAAAGCTCCCATCCCCAGCGCCGGCGGAGCGAGGGAGGTCACGCGCTCGCTGCAGCTCCTGCCAAGCAGGAGCCAGCTCTGGAGGGAAGGGCAGCAGCTCTTCCTTCCCCAGTGCTTGAGCAGGCAGGAGACTGCAGCCAGGCCCGGGAAATGCTGCATTCAAATCAAACTGGGAGGGAGGAGTGCTACGGAATTGCTCAGGAATACAGCTGGAGCTGGGCCAGCACTTAGTATGCATGRAGGCTGGTGCTGTATGAATGGTAAAAATAGCAGCAGATGCTTAGATAAGAAAATACAATTTGGTTTACATGCAAACCCATCAGAGAGCGTGGTTCAAAAATCTACCCGCTATCAGATCAAAGGAAGATTAAGGCTGAGAGCTTATTCTGGTGTAAACTTAGTTGCAAGCCCTTTCTTCAAGAGGTCTTGCTTTYCTTTGGAAAACCTTTCTGCTCCAGCATTTGAAAGGTGGGTTTTAATCAGGTTTTATCTCACAGAAGCAGAGTCTGAAGGGATGGCAGGAGCACAGTCAGAGGCCACAGTGATTGCTTTGGTTTGGAAATCAGTGGACAAGGTGCACTGATTTTTTAGGTACACCCACACATGTACACAGTTCCCACAGCTCTGATACATCCCTGCCTCCAACACAAAACACACCGTGGATTGACAGGGCACAGTGACCCAGTACAGCACTCCAGAGGAGGAGACAGAGAATGATATTCTTCACTCAGGAAAAGCCGAGCGCAACCAGGAGCTGTCACTTCCAGCAARTCAGACTTGGGGACACCGAGCTGAACTCCCAAGAGTGGATTGCTTCCTTTAGCACAGGCACCCCAAAAAACTTGGAGATGAGGCAGGCTTCATGGCTGTTACCACTGACCTGCTCCTCTTCTTCCCAAGGGCAGAATTATCAGCTGGTTTTAAATCACCCTGTCCCACAACRTTTACCTTAGTGAATTACGAAAGGTTTTGTTTATGTAGGTGGACGCAATGTGGCCTTCACCATCAGCAAGAACCAGCTGGAAGAAGCACCCTAATGAAAGAGCAGGTAATGGGGTACTGAGGTCTTCCCAAGAGATTCCATGAAGATAGATCCTTGCTGACCTGGCTGGCAGAAAGGGATACTAACAGCAACAGGTACCACAAATCGTCTTCTCGATTATATTAAAGATTTAACTCTTTGTTCCAGCCTTTTGCTCATCTGAACACTTGCAGACAAGCAAATGGCCATTACTGCACAACTTTAATTCTYCAAAGCAATCCTGAAAGCAGAAATAAAGTCCTAAAATGCATTTTCTGCAGCTGGGAAGCATTTGAATCCCAAACTCCTGTTCAGAGTTGTAGTAATCACTGAGTAGGAACTGCAGTATGAGAGCTGTGGAGAATATTCTGACCTTCATGGTGACTTGCTGCAACTAAATCTGACAGTATAATTTCTGCTCCTTATTAATCACATCTTGATTTTCACTGTTTCATAAGCATCCTGGAAATAAACACTAACTCCAGGTCTATTCGCCTCATGATGGCTGGAAGCCTGAACTGACTGATAAAAAGGCTCATAAGCAAACTTACAAATATCCAACTGACAGTGTGAATCCCTCTCACCCACTGGGCAAGTAAATGCACTTGAGAAATTCCAGAAGGAGCCAGCTCCGTGCAATGAAGTATTGCCATTTTTGTGCCAGTCCCAGCCCTGCTGTCAGCACATATCCAGGGCAAGGGACACCACCCAAAGTGGCTGCTCCATTCTTCCCCTTCCCCACCCTATCCTTCCTTCCCCCCAGGCCAGTGGTGGACGGGAAATGGAAACTCTCTGCCCTGCTCAGAGGCACGAGTGTCTGATTTCCCCATTCCCAAGAACTGCTGAGACCTGAAAACTCAGCASAGCTCCAGAAGCCATTTGAAGTCCATGCCTGTTGCACCCTGRACAGATTAATGAAGGAGTTATGTGCTGTGGATGCAGAGGATCACTGGCAGATAATGCTCAGCACAGCCCACAGGCTGTGTGGAAAAGCAAAACCTTATTGGAATAACAAGAAGCCCCAAGTCCTTATTCCCAGCAGATCTTTGTCCCAGACATGCAGCCGAGCACAATTCTGCAATGTAATGATGTGCTGAATTTTCCCATTTCTCGCTCTCTGAAGGCCACACAAGGACAACCCTTTCTGTTCCCACTAAAACCCTCTTCTCCACAGGATTCTTCACACAGCAAGAAGGAGCACAAGCCATCTCCACCCTTTGCTTGCCCTTTTCAGGCCAGTGGCTACTGTGAGGCTGAAATTCCAATAAAAAGCCAGTGGAGATGGAGGCAGATGAGATACCCCTCCTGTGATGTTCAGAGGAAATCGTCCTGCAATGCACAGTCTTAATAAGAACTAAAATTGAAATTTCCTTAAATAAATATAAGGAAAGAGTCCATGAGGGAGAGTTGCCAGCTGTGTGTTGGAACATGGAGCYGTGCTTGGGTCAACCTCTGTCATCCATCACCTTGGAAATCTCCCAGGATTGTGCTGAGGGCAGGACCAGCAGCTCCATGTCACTGTTCCTATYGACGCCATCTGGAAAGAGAAAGAGCTGCTGTGTCCCTGTGGTCCCCACACAGCCCAGCAGGCAGCAGATGAGAGCAGCACAGCAGGGGCCTGGGGTCACCAGCCACAGTCAAATGGCAACCAGCTCCCAGGAATTTGTCTGCATTGCTGGGAGAGGGAAGAAGGTCAGAAAGGAAGGCCTGACCAACTGRTGCAATGGTTTCTTCCCCTCTGCAGGAGTCAAAACATTTGAGTCAAATTTCACTGACTGCTCGGCTGGAGGGGCTTTGCTTTCTAATTATCTCCCAGCAACAGTTCCTGCCCTGAGACAGGTCAGGTCTCCAAGCTGGAATTTGACCCAGTGCTGTGCTCTTTGCAAGATCAWGCCCTAAACTACACAGGTCTCTGCCAGGGGACTGTAGCCCTGAGAGGAGCTGCAGCATCCTCATGAACAAACAGGTTACTCACATCCGCAAACACTTGTCCTTCCCTCCGCTCGCTACCCTCTGTCCATCCGGGCTCCAGTCTGCTGCATACACCTGGTGTGATGGAAATCACAGTCACCTCTGCTGGGAGGAGGGCTCATTCCTGCCTCCAAACACCTCAGCTCCACCAGGCACCTCACCTCATCTGCATGGCCAGGCAGATCGATGGCCAGTTTCTTTGTCTTGGCATCCCAGACCTTGAGGGTGCTGTCGCTGCTGCCGCTCACCAGCAAGCGGCTGTCGGCTGACCAGGCGATCTGATACACCGCCGAGACGTGGCCCCTCAGTGATGTCAGGTACCTGGGGACAAGGACAGCCTGTTAGAGCAGCAGGCTTTGTTCCAAACCTGCCCTTGCCTTCGTGTTTCTGCTCCACCTGTGAGCCAGCAGAGTCACAGGATGCCCAGCACACCGCAGGCAGTCAATTGCTACAGTCCATCTAAAACCCCTCCCAAGTGGGCTCAGAACTCTTCATCTCACCCCCTCTGCCAACAAACCCTTATACAGCAGGCAATACTTCAGCCTCACTGCACAGGTGTGTCCTTCCCCTCTCTGGCTGAACAGTCTGGATTTAAAGGACCTTTAAAATCACTGACATGAAAGCCAAGCTCATGAGAATTAAGGTTGGTTTGCAAGGGGAGGACTGTTGTCCCCAAGAGCTCACCAGTACTCCAGCTGAAGGTTTAAAGCWGGATTACATGAGCATCCAAATACCAACAGCACTACTTGTAACTACAAGAATTTGCATCATCCAGAACAAGCTGTTCTCTGGCACAGGAACTGTTTAAACTGGGTCACTCTCCAGTTCTCAACACATCTTCAGGAGATCAGTGGAGTGGAACATCCCATCCCACCACAGCTGCGCCTGCTCTGAAGAACTGACCCTGCAGCAACAGTGTGTGCACACAGGTGCCAGGCAGTGCTGTGGCTGAGTCACAGTGGGGCTGCACACACAGAGCCAAGCACAGACACCCCGACACAAGAAGAGCCAGACAAGGGACTTCCTGAGGGCAGAAAAAAGCAGAGACAGCAGAATGACGTGGTGCAAATTCAGGCTGCAGAGATGCTGAACACACCAGAGAGCTGCTGGCAGTGACAGTGGGGCCCATCCCTGTGTACCCTGAGCATCACAGACTCCACAGCACCACCTCTGTAACAGAACAAACCAACTCACTTTCCCGTCCTACCATCCCAGAGCTTTATGGACTTGTCAAAGGAAGCACTAGCTATTATCCGDGTGTCTGGTGAGAAGAGGACTTGGTTAATCAATGCCTGGTGGCCTGTCATTCTCTCCAGTGGCTTCTTGTCTTCTGCTGGTCTCCAAAGAAACAGGGTGAAATCATCTGACCCTGAAACGAGCCTTTCTGGTTCCTGGCCCTGAAAAAGGGATGAAAGAGCCCAAGTCTTGTACAAGCTGGGTGTGGAGAGCTCAGAAGCACACCAGTGCTGGGGTGTCCASTGCTTTCACCAGTGGACAGTGTTAGAAGTGACAGCAGGGACWAAAGGGACTTACCCGGACTTGGTTGTACCTCTGTAGTGCCCTGTCCTTCAGTTCTGCCACTGAAAAAGGGAAAATAAGAGGGAAAGAGAGATTTGCAACCCTTAGATGAAGAGAAGTTTATGATCCTTGATGCCAATTCCAATCCTGGCTCTGTRGGTTAAGCAGGAGCATTTGAGAGTGCTCAATTTGCTCAGGGCAATTTGGGAGCAAAAGTCCTTGAAAACAGAGTGGCCTCCCCACATCCCAAACTGCTCCACCCTGGCACAGGCAATGAAAATCATCAATTCCAACATGACCAATCCTCCCCCAGCCTCCAACACAGGCGCTGCACTCACAGGAGCCTCGGACATCCTGGGGGTTGATGGTGGCCTCGGCCGGCTCAAAGGCACCGGTGCGGAGAACGTAGTCAGTGCTCAGGGCCATGGTGTTCACCCAGTGAGCGTGGCCCTGCAGCGTGCGGCACAGGACCCCCTGGGGACAAAATACTCTCAGAGGGGGACAGGCAGGACAACAGCCAGGCTGCACAACACCCACCAGATCCACCGGGCCACAGGGACCAACCCCAAACTTTCCAAAGCCTCTTGCCCAAGCCGCAGGCAAGCCAAGCAGAGAAGAAACACTGTTGAGCTTCAGGCATCAGGCTGCCTTGCACAACACATCAGCTCAGGTTGCCCCAGGGATGCTTCCAGCTTTTAGCCCCATTTAATGCTCTTAAGAATGAAAATATCACACAATAACTACCCCTTGCAAACAGGGTGTGACAGGTCATGAAGATACAGCAGCTCTGTTTCACAGGGCAAAAGCTGTGCCAGGAAGAGCAGACAAAGCTATCACATGGTATGTCCAGGCCCCTTTGCCAGCAGCCCAAGGGCAGCCCCTCACTTACATCCTGGCTCCTCCAGACTTTGATGGTCCTGTCCTGGGAGGAGGAGTAGAGYAAGCCATCTCCTCCCCACTTCACACAGGTCACTGACTGCGTGTGGCTCGTGAGGATTTTGTCACACCTGCCCATCAGCGTGTCCCAGATGCGGATGCTGCCATCCTTGGAGGCACTGGCCAGGTAACGGCACTCTGGATTTCTGGGAAAAGAGATCAAATCCATTTGTRCAGCTCTCCTGAGCTCCTTCCCCACCAGCCCCAGAGGATTCAAGGGGCCAGTAGGCAATAAAATACAACTTTCTTTTGGCTTAGGATCAGAGAGAAGCYGGGCAGGGGCAGAACACTGGCCTACAGAGAACAAGGTCCCACAAGGCAGGGGAGAAGCAGAAAAACACTTCCTCCAAACACTCCTGGGCTGCATATTGGAGGAATCAATCCAGGGTAAACCTGGCAGCAGAGCCCTTGGCAATGATCTTGTTTGCAGAGCTTTAACCCAGTGGCTAACAAGGGCACCACAAACTGGCACCTTCCCTGGGCAYGGGATCAGGCTCACACAGGGAGCACAAATCCATGGCATTGGGAATGTGTTGGATGCTCCCCTGCCTCTGCCATGCTTGTGGAAAGAGTTGTTGTGCTGGCAGGGCTGAAAGGWGCAATGTCCACCCATTTGGCTCAGGGGGCAAACTGAACACATCTGGAAGCAAATGGCCACAAACCAGCAAGGACAGCAAATGGCCACAACCCTGTCCTTTGCRCATCTTTACCATTCTGCATGGTGGCACCAGCAGTGGGGAGGAGCACAGCCCTTCCCATTGCACTGGAACCAGCTGAAGAAAGASAACTGCAGCCCTGGCAGGGTCGTGTCCCTCCTCTCCCATTTCCTCATCCTCCTCTACAATAATTTTTTGCTAATCCAGTTAATTATTTGCAAATAGCTGAAGCTTCCTACTGGCAAATTCAATTTGCAGGGTTCTGCTCTGAAGAGGCCCTTTTTCTTCTTTCTTATTTATTTCTATAACATCTTGGATTAATGACTGCAACTGTCCCACTCCACCCACCTCTCCCAGGGGGAGCTTTAGCTGATGGAARGGATAAGGGGATTGTACAGTTAATCATCCCTCATGATAAACAAACGGGATGACAGAGGCCAGCAGGATCAGGAGAGCAGAAAGGAGTGCTCTGCCCTTGGACACCACCAGGCTTCCCTGCTCCCACCTCAGCACGCCTGGAGCAGCACATCAGTGTTTGTCCAGCACCACAAAAGCAGTGTTTTCCACAGGCAGGTGTGTCTTTTTCCCAGGGGGAAAAGAGACACGGCCTGGCAGTGATTCCCCAGCAGCTCACAGGGACTGTGAGCAGCAGCTGGGACTCCTGGCTCCCAGCTGCACACATTTTTCCCAGCCCACCTTGGGAGCTGCTCTCCTAGACAAGCTTTTTCCCGTAACAGGAGAAAGGCAAACAGGAGCAATGCCCTYTGGGTCAGGCTGCTCTTTTCCATAGGAGCAAAGGGGAAGGGCTGAGTTGGCCCTTCACTTACATGTGGAGCGGTTCCCAGCACAGACAYGTGATCCATTTGGAGTGGCCAGAGAGCACCCGGCCGATCTGGCTGCCAGTGGCTGGGTCCCAGAGAAAGATCTGTCCAAGAGAGGAAGCACGAGGGTCGCGTCAGGCCACAGACATCATGTGAATCCCAGAGACGTGGGAGCTCCATTTAGAAAGCAGAGGTGTCCTTGGGATTGTGTTTGCACTCGCAGGGAACAGTGAGGGAAGGGGGCTGGATGCCTTTCCAGAATCCTGCAGCAATCAGCTGACACCCAAAAGAATGAGACCTGCTTGCCCTCCTCTCTGCCTGCAACATTGCTGCTACAAAAGTATCTGACTCAACTCYAAAGGGACACAGGATCCCAAAAAGCCACCCCGTGCCAGAGATTCAGCGAGTGTTTGCAGAGCACAGGGAAAGCCACAGCGCACTAAACACTGCTGATTATCAGATCCTGTGGGTGGGACACATGCTGGTTTTCTCTTGTTGATTCTCTCTCTACATAAATGTTCATCTTAAGAGCCAAGCATTAGTCATCCCCTACTTAAGAACCTGGGAGAAATAGAGAAACGGAGAACAAGCGGCTCTCTGGGTTCAATTAAAGGCAGATCAGCATCAAACCACAGAACCACCCAGGCCCAGGACATTTCCTTGGGATTGGCATCACAACTTTGGCAGCTTTGTGACTGCTCTTGTTTCTCCCAGACCATTCAAAGGTCAGACAGTGACTGCCCCTCTGCAGGTCAGCTGCCAGCTCCCATTTAAACACATGCTCCTGCTTCCCCAGGCATTTCTGCACTTCAGGCACAYGAATTTTGCCCCACAGACAAAAGGCTGAGCCCCTTTCACATTCCTGCAAGAGGGAATTTGGCTGTGTCTGTGTGGGAACACTGTGAACAGGCTGCTGCTGCATGCCTGGGTCACGCTAACAGCAGCCCTGGCTTGGCTGGGTGATACCAGTCCTCACTCCAGACACCTCCCTCGTGATGGAGCCGTCTGCCAAGGACCACATCCAAAGCCTGGACTCTTTCCTGCATGGAGGGAAACGCGTCTGCCACAAGACAGCAGGACTCAACAGCAAGAGCCCCACAAGGTGACAAGACCAGAGCTCTGCCTGGCACAGAGCCTTCTCGAAATACTGTGACACATCCACACACAAAGCTCCTCTGGGGAAYGGGAATCCTGCTCAAAACAACGGGATACACCCTTCACACCCCAGAAGAAACAAGCCTTCACCCCCAACCCCCCACTGCCGTTCAGCAGGTTTTGTTTCAGTTCCAGTGGGGCTGTAGAGGGACCCCAAGCTCCCACAGAGACCCCCCAGCCCCAYGCMGRGGGAGCCCACGTGTACCTGGCTGTTCTTGCAGCCCGAGGCCAGCTTCTTGCCATCAGGAGACCAAGCGATGCTGAGCACCCAGTGCCGGTGACCTGGCAGAGAGAGCACSAGTGCAGTGGGTGTGAGTGGAGAGCTGTGACTGTCCCTGCTGTCCCAGCAGRAAGCCACTCTGTGCTCCTCCTGGCCAGCCCCTCTTTTTGCACTTTGTCAAAGAAAGCTACTCCCTCCCCAGGCTGCAGTCTCAGACTACATGGCTCAGACAGCACCAGGCTCTGCTCTGCTTGTCCCCCCAAGCAGAAAGGGGGTCCACGAGGCACAGGGTCAGGAGCTGCCCTCCTGGGACACCTCTGCACCCACCTTTGGCCGTGAACTGCGGTGTTTCYGTGCTGAGGTCCCAGAAGCGGACTGTGGTGTCTCCAGAACCGCTCGCCAGGTACCTGGGAGAGGAGGAACAGTTCAGCACAGTGTTCCCAGGACAGGACAAGTGCAGCTGCTGCCTTGCCCCAAGTCCCTGCTCCAGTCAGGCTCYCGTACTTTCCGGTGGGGCTGAAAGCCACCGAGATGACGGCCTCAGTGTGTCCCTCCAGGGAGCTGGTGCAGCGTGTCACTGCCCGCACCCTGAACACCGCCTGCGGCTGGTAGATGATGTCCAGGACCTTCTCTGTCTCCACGCTCTGCCCTGCCAGGGTCTTCTCCAGCGACGCCACGATCTCGGCATCGTGGACGAAGAAGGCCAGAGGCACCGGCTCATCCTGCGGGAGAAAGGGCAGGTGAGTTAGCGAGGGGCGGCACCGGGTCGGGCTGGGGATGCCGAGGAGTTGGGGAGGGGTCTCACCTTCTGCAGGAGGGCRTTGCAGACCAGCTGCAGCTTGTCCGGGGTGATGGTGACCGGGACGTCRAACGGGGAGCCCAGGCACTCCCCAGCTTCATCCCGGAACTGGATCAGGAGCCGCTGCACATCCTCCTCGTCCGGGGACATGTTCTGCGGGACAGCGGGCTYAGTGCCGGGAATCCCACCGGGCAGYGGGCACAGCCTCCCACCCGGGCAGCGACACGAGCGTGGGCACAAGGGGAACCGGCGTAGGGCCCGTGGGACAAACACCCCGCGCTGAGCAGGACTCCGCGCGGGATGGGGGCAGCAGGAGCTGGACGGGGGAACCCCATGGGGGCGAGGAGATTCCGAAGCGCCCCAGCACTCCCACCCCTCCAATTGCAGGTGCTGCCCACCCCGGCCCCGCTCCCGTCCATCCCCATCCCGGTCCCGCTCACCGCGGCCATGTGCGCGCGCGCCCCACGTGGGCCGGAAGCGGCGCCGCCGGGCCGGGAGCGCGCGGAGCGGAGCTGCTGCCCCCTGGCGGCCGGCGGAGAGCGCCACGCTCGCCGTGGGGCCGCGGGTTCGAGACCGCGCAGGGACAACTCCAGCGGTGCCCGTGCGGGTGAAGTTTACTCGATTATTCTAAAACCCCAGGTCTTTGATACCAAAACCACTCAAGMTAAGCCRARCCCTCAYRCTSGATCCGGCCAAATCCACCCCAGGAWGCACAACTTAAGGAAACACAACCCTGAGCAAYATCTGTACCCAAACCTGTGCCTCATAATCCCTGAACACACCCAAGGTGAGCCTGGATCCTGCCCAGGGGGAAACTGAGTCAGAGGTGCRCTAAAAGAGGCAAGAGTTTAGCTCTGAGAATTCAAAAGTGTGGTTCAATACTGCACTCCAGGACCAAACCCTGACCCTTCACCCTTTTCTCAGCCCAACTTCTGCCACACCCAGTGATTGAAGACCTTATTTAATATTTAAATAAGAATTAATCTTATTCACCACACTGCCACTAATATAGTCCATTAAGAAACGTGTGCAGAATTACTCCTAAAGCTCACATTAAAAAGAAACACCCCCTGTAACTTCCCATAAAAACAGAAAATCAACACAGATTTTGATATTTATATATTTTAAATCAAAACACAATTAAATATAGTATGTTTTAAGTACATGAATGTTTGGGTATGAGAGAAATAAGAGGTGGTACATAGTACCAAAAACCTATACACAGCCTTTTTTTGCTTTTTCATTAACAATACAGTGTGTCTCTATACAATCGAATATTGCAACAGAATAACACTTTCTAGTCAATCAAGATATTCTGAACATTGGAAATGATTTGAATTCTTCGCATAGTGATTACTTTGCACAAGTTTGAGGAAAAAAGCAATCATTAAAGTAAAAAAAAAACCCAAAATAGAAGTGTGGTATACTAAAAATGTAGTAGTAATGTAACGGTGAGACACTGAGTACTTCTGCTACCCTGCAAAATCAATTTGCTGGGGAAAAAAAAGAGGTGCTGTGTAACATGGTAAGTGTTGACAGTGTCAGGAAGAAGGCCAGAGGTCATTAAAAATTGCTTTTYTTTGTAAACCAAACATCTGGAATTAGATACTATGTTGGGTGGAGGACAACAAGYGATGGAGAATGGCAGCAATTACTTCTTTCCTTGCTCAAGGGATGCTGAGGAGAGGAAGTGGGGCAGTCTGCAGGGTCCAACCTGCTCTGAAGGTGGCTCTGAGAGCAGAGGTGCTGCAGGATCAGCCTCGGATCTGCTCTGTGGTGGAAGCAGGGGAGGTGTGTGTGTGTGTGTGTGTGTTTGTGTGTGTGTGCAGGTGTAGGAGCTCAACAAGGAGGAGTTCCTGACCCTTCTACACTGCCTTCAAAGTTAATGCAGTTATGAAGTAAAATACATTTATCTTACAGTTGAATACTCATCTATTTCAAGTAACGGAAAATTAAACTTCGAACTTTCCAGGTCATTCACTGCCAATGGATTCACCCTTCTAGGATGTGCCCCACGGCCCTTCCAATTCTGTGTTTAAAAATTACAAGTAGTAGAACTAGAAACTACAGCAAAAACCTTCTCCTCTGTTGTGGCCTCTGTGTCCCATTCCAGATATTTTGCTTGAAAGTCTATTTTTTGAGACAGGGTCAAGTATTTGTGCAGCCGATCGCAGTTTCTCAGTGACACATTTGTAAACTGCATCTTCATCTCAGAACCATCGTTACTGTGAATGCCACATACAACAGGAAAAAGTGTTTCTTCACTCTCTACAGTGGAGGTCCAGGATTGCTTCTTTTTCATTCTTCCTTAGAAATGAGGGAGATYCCAGCAGCTGGAGTAACAGTGCTTTGTTTTCATTGGCTGTGTTAAAGAATCCACCAATAGGGAAAGTTCACTCATTCTCAAAGTGGAAAACCAGATTTCCTGTCCTGGAGTTGCTAAAGTCATAGCTGGAAAAGGGAAAAACAGTTCGTTTCACCCTAAAACATGCAAGGTAATTGCTTAATAGAAAGACATTTTGTGTTTAAAAACATTGAAGCCAGGTATGTTTGAGTTTGGGGAAGGAAAAAACCCCAAACCTAATCCAAACACACTCAACCTTTAGATTACTTGSTTAATTGAATCCAGAGCATCTGCAGCCACTTGATATTGCTAAATACTGTGCTGAGTGACCTTTTCATCCAGGCAGAGTGGAATTATATCATTTGCAGCCAAGCCATTAAGTGAAATCATTATAGAAGTCACTTAACTGCTCTATTAGAAAGAAAACACTCACASAGTGAACTATGGATCCACCCATTTGGATCGAATAGCTGGGCTTTGGCACATGTTTACCTTCAGCAACTGAACATAATGCAAGTTAATTTTTAGAAACTCACATGCCTGAAAGTCAGAAATACCAGACGTTAACGTAGTAACCTGCTGTCRCCAATATTGCACAAAATCTGCATTAGAATTGTGTTTTTTTGACAGAGAACACAAGGGTGGTACAACAACACAGTCACTAAACAACAATACACAAACCTATGGACAGGGCTACTGAGTATTTTTAAAGTCTGTAGACAGAATTGTGTAAATGGGTGCACCCAAYGAGACAAATTCRCAGCTGTTGAGTTTTACTGACACTTCAGGCAGAAATACCACTAYTGACTAAGAGGAAACAGCAAATGTTTCTTGATCCTGCAGCACAGATCACCCTTTTAACTAATTAGGCAGTTTGTAGACTCAAACTAAAACCAGTTTAGTGCTTTCACAGAAGAACCACCACAGGCATGTGTTAAGAAATTCCTACATCACACGTAGGCCGAAACACTTCCAACCTTTGTTTCTTCATCTCATGCTCTGCTGGTTTGAACATTTACCAGCGTGGGTTTCAGCCCCAGGAGGAAGGCAAGCGAGAGCTCTGCTCCTCCCACAGCCTGGCTGCAGCCAGATGAAGGCAGGCAGCCTTTCCACCCCCCTACCTTGGTGACCTTCTCCAAAGGCTGCTCACACTGCGCCTGCTGCATGACGTCGTTGACGATCATCTTTGCTATCCTCCAAGCCATCTCTTCTTGAGCCTGAGAAAACACAGCCCCAAACACAGATAGCTTCAGGTTCTTAAAATAAAAACACAGTGCTCTCAGCAGAATGCACAGCCTTGGAGTCAGGRTARCCTTCACAACTCCAYGACCTGTATAAACATATCCTCCCTYGATGGCTTCCAAGTACAGTGTTAACTTCAATTCTTGTATTTATGGCTTGATGCAATTTCCAAGAGGGTTGGTGGAGTTTTTAAGATTTATCTTTTGGGGATTTGTCCAATCCCCTCTGAAATCAAAAAATGCAGCCTATAATCTATGTGCAGTGGTCACTTCACCATAAAAATCAAACAGCACCTCCAACCCTACATGCACATACATAAAACTRCAATAAGAAAAACTCTGACTGCAAGCACACAATTAATTCAACCAGCAAGCCCTGGCAAAGATCAAACTAGTTTCACACATACATGCAATCCAATCAAATTATATTTAGCACACAGAGTCTCCCTGTTCTTGATGCAGCAAAAAGATACTCAGAGATAACAGGCAGGATTAAGAATAACAACACTTTATTTCTCTAATCTAAAGYGTGAAGTTGCAAGGACAACATGAAAGGGGACACACCTCATCTGTGTTTCCTTGAACCCATTTCTTCATTGCTTGTGAAAACATGGACCCTGGTTGAGATAAAAACAGCAAGCAAGGTATGTCAGTGAAGTGAGGTACAAARCTAATTCCTGCCATCCCTCTGAAGGGTTTGCTCTGCTGGCATTCAGGACATGGAGGAGTGGCAGGAAAGAACRGGATTGCCTGGAGCCATTTGGACACTGAACCCTTCCCAGAGCTGAAAAGCAGCAGGTCCCAGCCTGGGTGGGAAGCCTGTGGAGAGCTGCAGTTCTTTTTCATCTCCAGACCAAAGCTTTGAAGGTTTGATCACCAGCTCAKCTGCTGATGGCTCCCATCCCTGCCAGGTTCCATCGACAGCTCCAACTCCCACAGGCTGCTCAYGCTCCCTGCAGTCCAGCTGGACCAGAAAAGCAGAGTTTGGATAGGAAACTGGGCCAGAGGTGGGTTTTGCCTCAGTATAGGCCAATCCCCAYAGCATCTCTATTTGGCTTAAAACAAATCTGCTAAGAGTCACGCATTTTGCTTATCTCAACTGCAGCAGCAAAGAGAGCAGCTCTGCAGATGTTTGCAGAAATGGAAAGAGGAAAACAGACCTTTTGATTTTTTGACATCAGGCTCCGGTTCAGATTCTCTGATGAACTGCCCCAGGTCACTGACTCTTCCAAATGTCATCTTCCTGAGGAGAGGAAGGAAGAACCATGTGGGTGATCAAAAGAACTTTGGCATTATGGAAAACCATCAGTCATAAAAAGCAAAAAGGCATCGTAATAAAGACTCTATTAACCTATCACCACCACCTACACCTAAAATTGATACTTGGCTATATTTTGGAGTTAAAGAGGAACAATAACTAAGAGAAAGAGAAAAAACACTTAGAAATATTTTTCTGGCTGCCATTCTGGTCAGAAAACATTCACTATCAGTGTTAAATCACTACTGAAATGAATTTAGTTTCAAATATTAAGATATGGACTAAGATCTTGCATTTAGGCCTACTCTTCATGCAGAAAGACACAGCAAAAATGAAACTGAGATGAAACATGTAACCAGAAAGGAAACAATACACTGAAATGAACCTTACCCTGCATATGTTCGTTGATACAAAGACTCTGGATCCAGACTTGCAGCATCTACAATTATTGCTTCATCAAAATTTTTCAGGATTTTAACATTAGCCTTTTTGACATTGGACTACAAATAAAAATTCTAAGTATTAGTGCCCAATGCAGACAACTACCAGCTTAACAAAACTGCAATTTTCGTGCTTTTAACACTTAGATAAACCTTGGTCAAGTSTCTAAGCAAAAGAATTAGAGAGTGTCTACACAGCCTTGAGTTCCCAACACACAGGACATTGTTTAAAGCAGAGGATGATAACGTTCTGTGGACAGGGCCAAAGACACAATGCCCAGGTCAGTATACACTGCTGCCTGAGCATTATCAGCTCAACAAATCATCTGTTATGAGCCTCTCCTGCACTCAGTAAGCAATTCCCAAACACAGACRCCTCCCCCATGCACAGAGAGCAAACATTTATCTTCTGGCCTGGAGTATTTATATAAGATTATGGAAAAAAAAGCCAAGGAATCATCAGAGCAACAACAGGGAGAACACAACACACAGCTATCCATTATCACCTCAGCATGGAACAGAAACACCGATTGCAGCTCCTTCCCTGCTGCTCTTTATGCAAAAATATGCAGAGACCCAGAGATTCTCCCATTCAGACAAGCAGGAATGCACACCACAGAAAGCAGCACCTCATTTCCCAAATTGCCCAGCCAATTACCAGCAGTTCCTCCTGCTCAGAGGATCAAGCAGCAGGAGGCTTCCAGAACATAGATTTTATTCCCCACTTTGCAGCTAGGGGAGGAATATTCCCTCCTTGCAAATTAGAAGGTTTAAAAATAGTACAAGCAGGTAGTACAGCTTCCAAGTTGCTGGAAACCCAGGACATGACTAACATTGGTGTGGATACTGGATTTGAAGCTCAGGGTACCCTGMAGAGTTCAATAAATGCAGCTCTTGCTTGGCTCCTCTGCTCTCAGCTGGGCTTCCAGTTTCTGAGCTATCCTGGCTCCAGGTAAGGCAGAATCTGCTCTGTGTTTGAGCAGCTTGATGCCTTCAGCCCCAGAACTGAGTTTACTCATCAGGACAGAAAATTTGGCACTTTAACAGAACTTGCATGTTTATATTTAAATTGGATAGCACATTCACAAATGTCAATTTTGACCTGAAGTTGTAACGACAGTATTGATAAAATAATGTAATTTCTAATAACAAGCATTCTTAGATGTTATGGCACTATGAAAACAAGTCTTCAGCAATAGTAACAGCCTAATAAAAACATCAATGATGCAAAGAAATAACAGAAATTGGTACCTGGGAGGCAGAGCCATCTGTGCTCCCTATGGAATCAGTGTCAGGAGAGCTACCAGGGCCATGAATACTCAGTGCAACATTCCCTCCAGGGAATTCATCTCCTCGTACTGAATGGATGAGGTCATTCAAGTATTTGTAGTAAAGGTTGCTGGACAAGAAACCAGGTAGAAAAACCTGAGGGACAGAAGGAGTCCTCTTTAATCAAGGCTGGTCTGCACAGTTAGAGAAGAACAAACAAACACCTCAGTCCTTGTGTAGATGAAGCACAAGTAAAAGCAGCCATGCATGGAATTATTGTGGATTAGCAACTGCATTGCTTTAAGTTTTAATCCTACTGCAAAATGAACAAACCCAACTGCCTATTAACCAAATCCTTCAGTAACTGGAATTGAAGTTCAGATTTTTTTTCCTCCCTCYATAAACTAAGCTTGACAGCCCAACAGGCTTTAAAGTTCATTCTGCTTCGCTGTTCACAATTCTCTGCAGCTCCAGATTCAAATCATTCATTTCTGGTATCTGGGTATGCCAGAATTACATTATTAACCACAGCCCTTGCATTAGACTTGCAAACACTCCTACAAGGAGGAAGGAAAATTTGATAAAGATAAAAAATAAGCTGTTGATAGCAATTCACATAGGAGGAAATTCTGTTACTTCCATTAAACTGCAATAATCATCCGAGACAAACATTTCACAGAGCACAAACAGGAGCCAGTGGGTGGTATCTTCAAATCAGGCTAGGGAAAAGAGTCTGGCAGGTTTTACTGAAGCTGTTCTATTACCCAGGTAAACAGGAAAACAGTAAAGGACCAGGACAAATCAGGGATGCTGCAGAGGACACTTGGCACATCATGAAACCTCCACATCACCTTCACTGAGTGTGAACCCCACYCTGAAGAAGGATCTCACCGTCTCCATGGTTGTCCATGCCTGCCTTAAGGGAGTGGTGAAGCAGTTGGGGAGGGGCCCCCCCTCCCTGCAGATGTTGGATTCAATCTCCAGCCTCACAGAGTCATCAAACCCCAGAGGATGCGTGGCCTGCAGGGAGAAGTACCTGGGGCAGGGCAAGGAAACAACACAAACAGGATTTGCAAACYTTTGTGAGTGCTCAGTGCCCACCTGTCCCCCAGACACTACAAAAACCTGCACACACCCAGTCCCCACTGACTGCAGGTGAGACACCCCCCTCCCAGAAATGGTTCTGAGAGCCCTGCCCTGAAACACAGGTGAAAAACAGAGAATGGCAAACAGGAACRGAGCAGGAAACACCCAGAACTCTGAAGCAGCACTGGCTCTACTGTTCACATCCTGAGTTTAAGGGTGGGGGAATGACTGATGAACCTCTGAGTGAAGTACTTGCTTCCTCTCCAATTATTATTTCCTCCTTGGGTAATAACTCAAGTTGTGGTAGAGTCTCACACTTAAGCTTAAGAACAAACACTTCCTGGAAGAAGTTTTGCTGTCTGTCTCCCAGCTATCTTATTGCTAAGGTGAAGCATAAAATACAGCAAAGAAGTTCCCCGCCTGAGAGTGAAAGTCTGATATTAAAAAGGATCTGATTGCTTCCTTAAAAATAGGAAATATTTTGCAATACTAAGAAGAAGCACTTTYTGGCTTTTATTATGAGTGAGAACAGCTCCTACAGCCTGCTTGACGTGGATAACAGTACCTGAACATTAAGGTTTTTCTGCAGTGCTGTAGCTGCTATTAGGCTTAAACCTTTCCCATTTTCAAATGCCAACCAATCAGCTTTGATATTTCACAACCAAACWCAAGCAATCAAGTCCTGAAAATCCTAAATTATGTTTAAGAATGGAATCCTTGAAAGGAATTTCCTTCATGTATATAAAAAAAATTTGGAAAGTTCACTTCAAATACCACCTTAATAAAATGCACCTCAGCAGAACAGCAGAGCACTGCAGAAAAGTTCCTTTTGCAACATAAAACCACAAGTACAGAAACAAAGGATTGTTGAACTCCCTCACTTGTCATACAAAATCATGGCATCGTTCTGTGCTTCTTGCCCATCATACTGGCCTTCTTTGGCAGCAAGCTGAGACTGGAAGTTATCTGCTGCCAACCAGAACTGCAATACATTAACTGCATCTTCCTTCTCCATGTACTGGAAGGAAATCAGAAAAACAGGAGGGATTAAAGAAGTGTTAGCAAGAAACTTTTAATAAGCATAGACAAACTTCCTTCTTCCTATTTAGAACAAGCAACATGGTCTATATATTAGTGATGCAAAATTATCACCAAGACACAGTATTTTGAACTTTTCTGTTGCTGATAGATGTAGCWTGTTTGGAAAATAAAAAAAAMMCCAAAAAACCAAAAACAAACCAGAACAAATTTTGACATTTCTTTTTTGTATTTTTTTTCACACTTAAGTTTCAAAAAAACTATTTGTCTCATACCAGGACAGGAAACACCATGTTCATGCTACATTTAGCTCGCACTGAGCTCAGCACATTGTCTCAGCTTCCCAAGCTGCAGTTTCARAATACATCAGCTTGTCAGACTGTCAGGACAAGTGTGTCAAGAGCTGATTCCTTAACGTGCAGGAGCCTGAAAGTGTGAAATCTTCCATTTAACCTATCACATCCCCAAAGATGCCCTCTCTGCATAACACTGGTGAGTGATTTGTTGTCTGTAATAACACTTAAGGCTTTCAAAGTCCCTACAATGTGAAGATCAAGGTGACTATGTCAAAGCTTCTACAAAGCCAAGAGACTGAGAAACACTCACTAACTGGAAAGGAAATCACAAATATTCATTCACTACACAACGGACAGGTCTGAACATTTGAATTAGTCCTGCATGGGGCAGAAAAAAGTTCAATGCATTTTCTCTCAGAAAAAGATACACCTTGGGWTTTTTACTGTATTTATAATCATAGAATCACAGAATTGTTTGGGTGGGAAGGAAACTTAAAAATTWTCCAGTTCCAAGTCCCTGCCATGGGCAGGGACACCTTCCACTGTCCCAGATTGCTCCAAGCCCCATCAAACTTGGCCTTGGACACTTCCAGGGATTCAGGGGCTGCCACAGCTTCTCTGGGCAACCTGTGCCAGGGCCTCCACACCCTCACAGGGAAGAATTCCTTCCTCATATCCAATCTAAAGCCATCAAGGAATGAACASATGTTTTTCATTTGCTAGAAAGGAACATAAAAGCAAAGCCAAATGTTGCCACTCACCTCAGAGAAGTAGAACAGGGCTGACTCACAGAACAGAATGTCAGCCAGATACACAGTCCCACTGGTCAGCACCTCGATCTGGTATTTACAGAAATGGTGACTTCGCAAAAACTCACTAAAGTGCCTGCACAGAGACAGGGACAATCAGTTATCAGGGGTCAGCAGCATCTCAGGCACCCTCAGAACCAATGAACTCTTGCCCAGAACTCTGATACTTTTGGTTGGATAAAAGCAAAACTAGCAAACTACAGGGCAGGTTTGCAAATGGCACAGGAAAGAGATGAAGAACACAACAGTGTGAACAGCCAAATTCARCAAGAATGGATTTGTTTCAAATATAGAAGACTACGCAGAAAACAGCTGATATTGTTACGTCTCCATAAACACTTTGAACAGAACCTTTAGCAAAAGGCACAAGAATCCAAACCATCCMATCAACTTACTCTTGTTCCATTGCATTGAATACTATGGACTGTGCTGTAACGAAGCAGTTGGGATCCACTTGGCCATCTTCGCCACAGATCTTTGCTGMAAAGAAAGACCAGGTTAATTTTAACACGGATTTGGCTGATGGAGCTGAAAGGCATGAGCAAGGACTAGTTAATGAAAAATTGTAGTTCAAATACACCAGAATCAGCTGGTTCTGACTGAGCAAAGAGCTTTTAAAGTGCTGCAGGTAGCCARATTATAACAACATGGCTAAAATATTTGATTGAGACTCATATTTGGATCCCCTCCATAACCACCAAGAATTCTTTCCCTAGTTTAAAGAAAATCTCTGAAATTTTTTCTGAGGATATTGCACAGAACTGCTGAAGGTCTTGTAATCACCTATCTTTTTACAGCTGCCTTTAAAAATTCATAAAAATAAAAATAAATACAAGTGTGTGACATGTTGAAGATATTTTTACGGCGACAGAGCAGCTCTGAAATGAGGGAACGGTTATTCATTCTTACCAACTATGTCATTTCTCATTGCTTCTGTAATAGGGATTGGTTTAGCAGCATCTGGAGAAATATATTTGGTAAAAGTACTAACTGCATCCCGTTCTATACCTGYGGGGAAGAAACACAGAATCAAACTYGGAATWCCTTGGCGTAAGTGAATGACAAATGTCTGCCCTTCACAAAAGCAGGTGTCTAATTCTCAGTGATGTTTCCTCCCATTCCACTGCAGGATATTCAGATTCTGCTCCTGACCAGCTGCAGTGACTGTGTCATCTCCAGCCAGGTCACAAYAAAGCCAGCATGGACTGACTGATGTCAGGAATAAAACTACACAGCTCCAAATTTTCCCTACAACCACAGAAGGCAGAACCCAGTTCCTCARCTGCACACCTTAGTCCCAGAACTAACACCATTCAGCAAGTGAAGTTCCCAGTTTTTAGCTCTCATCACAGAGAAATCACTTGCATTATAAAGAAATTTGAAGAAAAAAAATCTTAAAAGAAGATGCCTCGTGCTTAGTACATTGTCTTTTGAGATTTAGGACTCTACTCTGAAAGAGAAAAAAACTAAACTCAAATTCTTTTCAGATTTCTCAAGGAGGACCCAGTGTTCTCAAATTCTTTTTAGACACCAGAAAGCTGAGGAACTTTCACAACTAAAACATRACTTCTCTTGTTTAAGTGACTTTGGGGCTGATGTTATGTATTGTGGAGGCACATGATAAATAACTAAATGAGAAGGAAAAACAGCAAGAGAAAGGGATGCAACACCAGGAAACGGTTGAGCAAATAAAAGGAACCAATATGAAGAAAGTGTTTCCTTTTTGCCTGCACACTTGCACAAATGAGGGAAGACTGAGTAGATGCAGAGTAGAGAAACACATTACTGTGCAGGTAGCTCACTACCAAAAGGAAATATCAATTTCATCCTTACTTCCAGCAGCCTCTGAAGAGGTGGAATCCAAATGACAACAAATCAGTTATAAGGGGAGGAACTCTACTGAAAAAATCCAAGAATAAAACCAGTACATTCCACACATAAATCTCCACAAGTGTCTTGCAACCACTACTGATGTCTTCTTATGTAATACAGGATATTTACCTTCCACGGCAAGTTAATTATCAATTCTCAACCCCATCATCTAAACTTTATGCAATTCTCTTCAGGTGGGATGGGATGGGTGAAAGAAGAACGGGATACTGTAATGTTCATCTTCACTTCTTACACATGGAAGAACAGAAGTGACCTATGCTTATTGAGTACACAATGATTTTTGAAGTCTTTTCAGCAGCTTTTTTATTTTTAAACAAGTCAAACAATACACAGCTCAAACTGACCAGCAGCAAGTTAAAATCAGCGATACATAAAACTTTCTTCCTCACAACATCACACTTACTAAGAACCTGAGAACTGAGTCAGCTCCCTGCACAAAAGAAAAACAGCAAAAACATTCCCCATTTCCCACCTTTTTAACCAGAGGGAACACACAGCACTTACTTTTCATGAGTTTTCCTGACAAGTCCTTTAGTGCAGAGGAGGGGCTGTTTCTATTTGATACCGAAAGCTTGGAAGATTCTTGCTGATCATCTGGAAGAGACTGAGTCCCTGTCTCTGGTTTCCTCAGAGCCAGAGCCCCGGTGCTGTGGCTCCCCTGCCCCGGCAGCACCACGTGGTTCTGGCTGGGGGCAGTTCTGTYGGGCTGGGRCCGGAGCAGYSGGGCTGTGGCTGTGCCTGAGCCCTCCAGCCTCTCCTCCAGCCACCCAGAAGGAGGAGAGGARGCCAATTCCTGCTGCTTGGAGGGGGACACCGGCTCTGCCAGGGAGCTCTGCTTCACCGTGTTCAGGCTGTGCGCGCGGATGCGTGACCAGGTCGTGGAGTGGAAGCTCTCGGCCTCCAACCAAAATTTCACCAAGTGCTCCATCCTGCGCAGCTCCATGAACTGGATGAAGTAAGGGAGGGCTACACTGTCCTGCAGGACTTGTTCCAGGGTCTTGGAAAGGCTTGATTTGGTCTCTTGGGCCTGGTAATTCAGACACGATCTGCCTAAARGAAAACATAAAAGGGAATGAGTCCCTGGTGTACCACGGACTTGGGGATTGGATATAAAAGTGTCCTGTCACCTGACTGTGAATGGATACAAAATTGTCCTGTCAATGTAACTGTGAAGGGCCAATTCCACCACAATGACAAAGTGAAGGAATAGTCTGTGCCCTTCAAAACCCTCCCAGGGTAACACAGATGCTACTGTAACAGCAGCCACACTTTTATTACCTATCTACTCCAAGGGATGGTGAGTGCACAGAACACCCAGAGAATAAAAAGAAATGTTGACATGATCCCAGCCTTACCTAAGTCTCCAAAATGAGCAGCTTCCATGTGACTTGGCTGCTTCTTGAGGGCAGCTGTGCGGCTGCTGGAGAAMGAGTCCATGTTGGCAGAGATGGCATTGATGGCCACATGGCTTGGTCCTGCAGCCTCCAGCAAGGCATGATTCCTAGTGCTTCTCTGAGGGGAATGTACTGGGATTGGAGCTGCAATCAAKACAGGGATTGTTAAAGCACAAGGACCCCACGACCTGTTCTAAACATTGCCCATTGCTAAGCACCCCAAAATACACCAGGGAGTTTGCAAGAGTCAGTCTCATTAAAACCTCACCGTGCCACTGGGTGTCATCTTTGATCAAGGACCACAAATTTTATTTGATTAAAAACCAGAAGTTTTATTATAGCAACAATAAACTCACTCCCACCCACTTCTATTTTCCTTATTCAGCAGCAAGTCAAGAGATGCCACGTCTAAGTTTACACATGAAATATTCCTGMGTTTCCTGCTTCCTTGATAACCACTATTGTAACAGCTGAATACTCTGTCAGCTCTTTAGTTTGGTTCCTATGCTCCTACCAATCCATTCCCAGGCCTTTCTGAAGGCTAAAATGAGTTTAAAAAATCCTAAACTACAAAGTTRTCTGTGACTTTTAATAAGAGTATTTTTCAAAAATATTTTTGTTACTTCTGCTTGGTTGCAAGAAGAAAAAAAGCAACAAGGAAATACCTCTGATGAAACCCAGGTTATAAACTTAACCCCCTCTGGCTGCTTTAGAACATAAGTGGCTATTGGAGCACAAAGAGAACAAAGAAGAAAAGAAGAACTTTGTGACACAAAACTTTGCTAATTGTTAATTGATGACAAAGCTGAAAAACCCCAAACCATGCTCATAACAGATTCCAAAGCTCTCRGGAAGCTGCATTAGACAAGGATGACACACAGGGACACCTTACACCTCTGACTCAAAAACCAAACACGCCAGATGAGCTGATTATCTCAGCATTTCCAGGGATGTGTTCCGTCAAGGTGTCAAACAGCTTGGGCTTCATGACTTCCATGCTGCATCACTTCATTTTTATTCCCAATTTTGTGACAGCCGTTGACAATTTCCCACTTGTATGTCACAGCACAGATATCTCACGAGCAATGGCACAGGAGAGTTAAACTATTTAAGTTATTGCCAAGGGTTTGTGCACTTGCAGGATTTGACACCAAGACATCACTTGCTGCTTCTTACAAAGCCTCTGGSTATTTCCTCACAGCAATAATGGAGAAAATACCTTTGTTCCAAGGCCAAGGGGTGGCAGCAATGGGAAAACTTGGTGGAGGCCACTTATAAACAGCCAAAGAACACTCCTCAGTAAAGCCTGAGCTTTYGTCAATTAGATTCAAATTTAATTTTCTCAAATGTTCATAATATAAAAAAATGTTCTACTTTCTCTAAGGGTCAAACAAAGGTGGTCTCTGTTCAGCAGCTCACAAGGTGCAATACTATAAATGTTCAAGTTTATTTTTATTTTCAGTTTCACCATACTGGCAGTTGCACTGGAAGGTGAGGTGTGCTATGAAATGGATGCCATTCACTRTTTCCTGCATTTGATTTGTAAGACAGACCACAAAGGTGAAAAAAGYCTTTCATTTTCTCTTGATGTGCAGATAACACATGACCAAGTACAGAATTACAGGAATACCAAGTACAGAATACAGGATTTTGTCTGAGGGTATAAAAGTAACAGATCAGATTCAGRCATTCACCTCATCTCCTTTTAGTACTGAAAGAAAAACTCACAGAAAAACTTGTTTTCCCTCAGTTTATAAATTTTTTTCCACCAAGATATTTTCTCCTCTCCTAGAAGATTTAGCAGCAAGGTCCCTGGACCACACAGAGCAGCAGCAGAATGGCYCATTCTGAATTTGGATCTTCAACCTCAAAAGCCACATCAGACAAAGTTAAACCAGACCCTGCAGCTTCTTCTGCAAATCAGAGGCAGTGAAGCTGCATTTTCCAAACTCCAAAGGACACTACAGCTGAGCAAGAAATTTCAGCAGCAATTTGTGGTGGATAAGGAACAACTACCACGTGCAAGGTGACYGGATTGCCTGATCACTTTGAATTAAAACTCATGCCTGACATAATTTAATAACCTTCTGCACCTACAGATTCAGCAAGATGAGGAGGAAAGATTAGTTACTATAAATACTCAGAAACAGAATTAAGTTTTAGGTTTGGTTTGGGCTTGATGCATAGGTCAGATCAGTGCCCAGGAGTAAGGAAATCATCCTGCTGGGTAAGATAAAAATGGCAGATGATGGCAGAGATCTGAATTTATAGACAAAACTTTGATCTTACTTTTAATTGCTTTCACATCTGTGGTCTTTTCTTGTTCTTTGCCTTTCACTGTAAAATACAAGGGGAAATGTTAATGTTGTTTTGGGTCACTAATGGCATTTACCTGAGAATGGCCACAGAATTCCCAACATCAGCAAGTATCAGAGGGAGATGTAAACTATGATTTTGTTAAAACTGATTTCTAATTTAAATCTGCACATTCAGTAACTGATGGAAGCTTTCAAAGCTTTTCTGTTGACTTTTCTCAAAAGCAAACCTTTATCATCCATTAATTAAATTTAATGTTAAAATTACCATGGAGGAAGACRTTTGCTGTCTACAGAATTAAAGCCAGGCTACATTCAGGGTTAATTTAATAAACAGCATGAACTTGGAAAGAGTGGGAAAGGTGTGTTTTAAGTGCAGGGCACTGTCAGGTGTTCTCTGTGAACCAAAAATCACCTAAAAACATTTCATTTGTATTACAGGAAGAGCAGCACACCACCCAACACTGAGGAGATGTGGGCTGGCTCTGGCTCCATGGAGCTGCCTCCGTGCACATGATGGATACCACAGAAATGCCCTGGAAATTCCCTGCAAACAGTTAATTCTCTCACAAATAGTCCTGCCTGATCATCATCAAACCTCGAGTGAGCAGCTGATGGAAAGATAACAGTGTAAAAAGTTGTGATGGAAAAGCGCTTTAGGGGTTTTTTTAGTTTTTTTTTTTTTAATATTACTGTTTTTTTTAAAGGAAGCTCCTAAAGGAAGTGAATGATGAGATCTGTTCRAAACAAAAATAAAGAAGCCCAAGCAGCACATAAACAGGATGGCAGAGAAACAAATGCAGGGTGATATTGGAGAACGTGATCTGCCAGGAAGCTGCTCCAGGCAAGGATTATTACTACAAATAGGTCACCYCTGAACACCGACTGTGGAGCCCTTCCAGAGGCTACACCACTSACAGCCCAGCACAATCACACATCTACATCACAAAACGGATCCAAAAAACCCACCCAAAGCATTCCTGCCGCGACCTGAGGATTTTAAATATTTTAAAGGGGAACTCCAGTCTCCGGTTACATAATTGCGCTGCCCCGGTGGCTGCAGCGYTGTCTGCCAGGCTTCCCTGCGAGCACCAACGCTGCAGGGCTGCAAATTGGCAACTCAGGGTCGAAAATTTCAGCTGCCAGGAGCACGTTCTCGGACAGAGGGGTTTAAGTGTCCATTAGAAGAGGCGGATTCTCTCCACATTGACCCCCTGCAGCCCGATGAGGCTGTGAGAAGAGTAACCAGCCTTTACATAACTGGAGCTGCTGGGCAGGGGAGAAATCACCGGGAAAACCTGCATGTCTGAGACAASACTGAGGCACAAAGAGAACGAAAAAACCTCTACAAACCCTTGTCTTTCCCTAATCACTCMAACCAGTTCCTAGCTATCAGCAGTAATTCCTGAGTTTCACACAAGAGTCCTCCATAAGCCTATTTTCAGTTKAAATACCTCTGTTCCTTCTCACCAAGCTATTCAGTTCCTCCCTAAATACCGACTTATTACTGGAAATACAAACCCCAGGGTCGTGTCCCAACCCTTTCCACACAAGCTGCTTCTGTCCCCAGCAGCTCTGAGCACAACCGAGTGACATCAGTGACAGCAGGGGACAAAATCAGCTCCGATCCAAGGCCAAATTTTAGAGAGTGAAGTTTCACTACACGAATTCACTTCCACTTTTCCCCAAAAAAGCGGATGCTGTGTGGTGCCTGTGTGAAACCAGAAGGAACCGCAGAACAGGGACTTAGGGTGAGATTTCCAGTGGCCAATCCCATTCCAAAGGGTGCCAAACCGGCACATGACATTCCAGAGTTTTAATTCACATCTTGAAATGCTCTGAACAAATCCAAAASCCGTTCACAGTGTGTTGATAGTGCACAAAAACCACTGAGAAGCTGCTGAGGTCAGCCAGTCTGTGGGACTGTGTGTTATTCCCAAGATATCCCCAGGGATGGGGTGTTCCACTGGCAGCAGTTTCATAACCTGCCCTCAAGCGCCCAGCTCACCTGTTATACTTTGATTTCTCAACCCATTATCCACCCTCACTCTTCCAGATCTTTATTTGAGGGCTCAAGCTATAAAAACACTTCACCTTAGGTTTTGAGTTTTCTACAGTTAGTAGCTTTATGATCCTTGCTACGTTTTAATTTAAAATTAGTTTTAATTTTTACCCACTGTGATATCCTCTGAAACAAATGCTAGCTCACCCCATGAAACACTGGTGTTTGTAGGATTTTGGACTCCAGAGTTTAATCCTAAGCCTTAATGTGCTGCTTTTCTCCTAGCTTCAGTTTAAATCTTCTCTAAAAGCCAGATCTAAAAACGGAGATCACACCAAGAATGTTTTATGCACAGCCCCAGATGAAAGGTTYCTTTTCTCCTCTCCTTCACAGCGTCTCTCTCGGGCATTTAGTGCTGATTTGCCTCTCTGACCAAAGATCCTTTAATCAAAGGAACACAGCTCCTCAATTACACTTCTCAGATAATCAAACCTTTCATTGCTTTTTCCCTGAGAAAGTTTCCACACAAGCTGACCTTGTCCCTGTGATCCCACACCAGGACGGAACCTCAGCTGCACAATTCTCCATGAAGCAGCAGGAGCTCTTTTTGAAGAGTTTATAACCACTAAGAAAGTTTTATTCTGGAGCTAAACATTTGTATCTAATCACCCCAAAAATGATCGTGGYACTTGCAAAGCTCTCAGTGGCTTCAAGATTCTTCAGATCTGCCAGTAAGGATAGAAGTTTAGACTCATTTCTCCCACAACTATTGCATTATCCTCCCCAAACAGTGACATTTTCAGTGCTGCTGCTGCTTTGGCTGAGCAAGCTCCAGAGGATGTGTGAGCCAAGAGCACCAACATCACCCCAAGTACCATGTTCTTGCCTCCCAGGATGTGCATTTTGGGTTCAGYAACCCAAAATTGTTTGGGGCTGCATCAGAAGATCAATAGTTRCATTACTCGAGCTACAGCATCACGAGGTAACAGAACTTTCCCARGGGGCCCTTCCTAAATGGTGCCAGTTTCAACAAAAACCACCCAAACCACAACTGTGAGGGTTGAAAGTGCAGGGCCCTCGCTGCAGCACAAGCACAAAGTGCCTTCAAAACGCTGCACTCCCAGAGAACACTTAACCTACACCCATTTGTGCTGCTGGAATATTATAAATATTTCAGCAGTCCTGGATTTCAAACCCCAGCTTGTACTCCTTAACAAAGGTATTGCAGAATAAACTGCCAAGGACTCCTTTGGCTTTCACGGAGAGCTCAGTGCTGTGAGGTCCCTTTTTCATTGACATTTTCAGCTGCTGCTGTACATTCTCAGCCCATTATATTTTTTCATACAGCCGGGTATGTCAGCATTGTGAAAAAAACCATCCGTGAAGTGCTCAAAGGCTCAAACCCTGCACGAGGCGTGGGCGGTGCCRGAGCCCCCTCCCCGCCCCGGTCACGGTCCGGAGCCGCCGGGAGCCCCGGGCAGCTCGGGGGCCGCACCCGCCGCTCCCCGGAGAGCCCCGCCGAGCCCTCCCAACCCCGCGGGAGGTCACACCAGCCGGCACTGACCGTCATTGGCGGGGAGGCCGCTCCTCAGGGCCCGGAGGTCCTCGCGGGGCGCGGTGGCGGTGCCCGGAGGGGCAGGGCCGGGGCCCGGCAGCCGCGCGGGAGACGAGCCCGGCGGCCGCCCGCCCGCCACCCCCCTACCTTTCCGCCTGAAGAAGGACATAGCGCCGGGGAGGGGGCGAGGCGGCCGCCGGGGCGGGGGAGGGCGGGAGGGAGGGAAGGCAGCGCGCCGGGTCCTATGAATGAGGCTGCAGCGCCCGCCCGCCGCCGCCGCTCCCTCCGCCTCTTCCTCCCGCGGCGGCGCCCGCGGCCGCCATGTTGTCAACAACCGCCCCGCGCCCGCTTCCGGCAGCGCCGCCCGCGCGGCACCACGGGATGCGGCCGCACTCAACATGGCCGCCACGGCGTCGCGCCCGCCGGCCAATGGGGGCCCGGGCGGCGCCATCTTGGGTGAGGGCACGATGCTCGCGGGGCTCTGCGGGGGGCTGGGAGGCCATCATTGATCAGGGCAAGGGGCGCCGGGCGGTGTGAGGCGCTGTCCGCCATCGTGGCTGAGGGCACGGGGGACC